CCCCGCCCACCCCCGAGCGCAAGACTTTCGCCCGGGGCTACGAAAGTGAGTCAGGCGCCCCCATAGCCGGAAACAGGGGCTTCTCTTTCCCCTAGGGGAGCGAGACCGTGGCTCTCCTGCTCCCCGGAGCTGGGGGCCCGGGCGCTGAGGTGGGGCGAAGGGCCCCCGGGAGTGCGCCTCGGAGAAGGGGGCGGGCCGCGCGCGCCACAAAGGTTTGCTTCTCCGCAGTCAACAGCTCAGTCTCGGGGGCCACGCGCCGCCCGGGGGCCGGGGCCCCAGCTTCCAGGTGCTAGGCAGCTGAAGCCTGGCAACCGGATCCCGGGAACCCAGTTGGGGTTGAGGAGGATGGGCCGGGCGCCGGGCCAGAGGAACCTTGCCCCCAGCCTCCGGCTGCGCCCACATTCCTCCCCTGGCCACAGCACTGCAACCGAGATCAGGCCCAGCCCAGTCCGGGGTATCTAGCCGCCGTCCCCACCCCTGTAGAGACCACACTCCAGGCAGGCAGGCAGCTGAGGCTTTTATTGCGCTATTTTCAGTCATCTGGAAAACTGGTCTGGTCTGACTAGCTGCCCTTCGCCTCAACCTGGTTCTGGGCAAAGACATGGGAGACAGCCTTCGGCGGGATCCTCTGCAGTAATATCCCGCAGGGCGAGGGAGGCCAAAAGAGGTTGTGTAAATCTCTGCCTCGGGATAAAGGGGTGGAGGCGGTGGCTGGCAGCCCTCCCTCAGACCTCTGCCTCGGGCAATGAACGGGGAGGCTAGGCAGGACTGATGGACACTAATGGCCAGTCCAGGCAAGCCCAGGCTTGTCCTGCTCCAAAACGGCTCCAGAGCCGTCTTCCAGTGGGCACCAGGGACTTAGTTTCCTCACTGGGCTGGAGGAAAGGGCAGGATCTAGGTGGAGTCACAGCAGCCTCCAACCTATTTGGCCAAGGCTATGGAGGTCGTCCTGCGTCCAAAGGCTAGCCTCCAACTCCAGCCGGCTGGAACCCCGACACTGACTTAAAGAGGAGGTTGCTGGAGGAGCTGGGTTGGGGGGATTTCCATATGAAGGGCCCAGAGCTGAGGCTTCATGCTCTTAGACCCCACTGAAGGTACACTCCAAGGAGCTGTGGGGACAGTCATGCCTCAGACACCTGCAGCCTTGAGAACGTTCAGAGGAGAGGCAATGTCAGGGTGGTCCAGAAGCGTATCCGGGTGCCTCAGGGGGGCGCTGGCTCATCTGTGACCGCTGCCGGGTACCAAAGAGAAACCCTTGCAGCCTCCCAGAGGGCGGTGCCTCTAGCAAGCATCCCCCACCTCCACTCCCACTAGGCTCTGGATTCTGGACCCTGCCAGACCAGAGACAGAGGTTCAAAGTCAACTGGACTCAGGGTAAGAGTACACGTGAGCTCTGGGGCCCAAGAAGCACCCACACTTCCCCTCGCCAGGCAAGCCGCTCGGGGTTTACCTGGAAACTTCTGCTTTCATTTACCTTGGGGCTAAAGATGTTTTTGACGTGACCATTGGGGCATAGGAGAATGGGCAGGGGGCCAGCTGGGTTAACCCTTGCAGGGGAGAGGTGAGAAAGCTGGAACTCACGGCGAATAGCCAAGAGCGTGTTTCCATGGCAGCAGGACACAGAAGTCACTGTGTAAGGGTGTGGCTCATCCAGGTGCACTGGCTGAGGGACCCCAGCATCCTCGTCTCTCCTCCCCAGTCGACCTCGGGCCCCTTTGCCCCACGAGTACACTTCACCTTCTGCCAGAGAGAATCCGAGGGAAGAGGTGGGGGCATGGGGTGTGCACAGCCTGAGCGAGCAGCTGTACTCCCAGACCGGCCCCAGGAGGAGCCTGCCCTGACCGTGACCTACCAGCCAGCCTGAGAAACCTGGATGGGGACGGTCTGAGCTTAGAGGCCTATCCTGCCCCATCTGTCCCCACAGTACCCACCTGCCCCAATGGCTACCGTGAAGGCGTCCCCACAGGCCACCATCGTCATCTTGATGCCCTCAAGGCCTTGAACCTGACAGGGCGCCCGGCTCCCACGGCGAGCACTGGTGCCCAGCTGCCCGTGCTGATTGCTGCCAAAAGTATAGCAGTCGCCCGTGGCTGTGACGGAGCGGGGGAGAGGAAAGGACGGGAGCCTCGCTGGAGCTTCCTAGGCCAGGAGAGAGCCCCTCTGGCCTCCTGTGCCCGTGTCCTCACCAGTCACAGCAGCTGAATGAGCAGTGCCCAGGTCCACGCTCAGCAGGGGGTCCCGGTCCAGGGGTGCGGAGCCTAGTGGTGTGAAGCTCAGGGCCTCCTCCACTTGCAGGTGAGGGGCAGGCTCTTCCCCCAGGGAGAGACGGTCCAGGCCCAGCTTGTTGAACCTGAGGGCAGAGCCAGAGGCCACATCCACCTGCCAGGCTGCTCTGCCCCCACCTGTCAGGGAAGGAGCTGGGGCACCAGGAGACAGATCCACCCTGGGTGGGACCAAGCAGCACCCTTAGCCTCCCTTAGTTCTGGTTCTTGGTGGGGTAGCCAATGACGAGTGGAGCGCTAGCGGCCCAGGAGGGCCAGGGGGCCGGCGAATCAGCCCGATGCACTTTACCTGTTGCTCCCACAGGCCAGGGCTTGGCCAGGCACAGTGAGGATCATAGAAGAGTCGATGCCACATACAATCCGCTGGGCTTCTTGTCCTGGGGGCATAGGCACCTGCTGGGGGCAGCTGTGGGACTCCCTGGTGCCTAGTCCCAGCCTGCCTACAAGAGAAAATCAGAATGGGCTTAGGTCAAGGGCTGGTGATGCCAGGATGAGGGCACAGAAAGGGAATGGCATGCGTGAAGGCTGTTCTCTGAGCCTGAAATGCCTTTCCTAGGCCCTTCTGCTGGTCCCAGTCCTCCTCCTTGAAAGCCACCTCTGTCCTCCAGGGGACACTGCTGTTCCTTGGGTTCCCACACTGAACCTTGGGTACAGTGTTGATGCTGTCTGCCCTCTTGCTGGAGATGTGTCATCTCTCTGCATATCGGACTGAGTCCTTCAGAAGGACAGGAAGTAGCTAAGTCACCTCTAGTTCCAGTGCCCAGCCTGGTGCCTGACCCCGAAAGGGCTTCACTACATATTGTTGAATATAGGGGCCAGCAGGTGGTGTGGATTAAGGTTCTGGATTCCCACATGGCTGACCTCAGTTTGAGTTCCAGACCTGGTAGCTTGCTTTCTCACTTTCCCTCTCTCTCTGGTCAAATTAAAGGATAATAATGATAATAAAAATATAAATAAATAATCCTTAAAAAAAATTACTGCTGGATACATGTCACCCTCTGAACGTTATATGCCCTGGAAAGGAAGCATGCCTTGCTCATCTTGTCTCAGCACCAGTGTAGGGTGGGCATGTGGTGTGCAGTGGAAGTCTCTGAATGAACAGAATTTGGGAGAAAAGAGGGAGGAGTGTGGGCTAAGGGGTGAAAGTAGGTATGAACTGGAGCATGCTGCAGCTAGACATGCTGAGACCAGGCCTAGAGGCTGGGGAAGGGCAGTGAGCTTACCGCCATCTCCACGGCCCCAGGCAAATAGTTCTCGCTCAGTGGACAGGGCCAGGACATGAGAGGCCCCACAGGCCACCTGCACCATCTCGTAGCCCAGCAAAGCCTCCACAATGGTGGGCTAGAGGGGGAGGAAGCAAGGGGAGACTGGGCAGACCTGGGACTAGCCACCAAGCCTCAGTACCCCCTGCAGGCACAAAGTTGGAAGCTGCAGATTCTTGTGAGGTGGCAGACGCACGTGCATGTGCTGCCTGGTAGCAAGCATTGAGGAAGCCTGATTTTTCTGTACTTCCCCTGTTACGGCCCAGAGCAGGTGCAGCTTGGGAGCTAGAGGGACTTGTGGCTGCTGGGAACTCCCCTGCTCCCAACCTGATGTTGGCTCTCAGTGGTGGGCTCCATGCCATCCCCTCACTTACTCCTCCCCAGGGTACAACTGACACCCACCTGGCTGATGTCAGTGAGGCTGCCGTGGCCCAGGCACCCATTGCTGCCACTGCCGAAGGTCATGATGATGCCTCTGTCTGGGGAGGAGGGCAAGGAGGAAGTGGTGAGGTTAGACTGCTTTTCCAGAGAGCCCCATCCACCTGCAGGCTGGACCAGCAAGATCAAGTTCAGGGCTAGGACATGACAGATGAGATAGGATAGAAAACAGGGGTCTCTCTTCCCTCCTGCACGACTTTGGAGCAGTGACAGCCTCTCTGAGCCCTAACTTGCCAGGCCTGCTGTGTAGAGAGAAGGAGATTGTGCAGGGGAATCTCAAAACTCATCAAGATGGTAGCAGAAGCCAGCGCGTGGCATAGTGGCTAAGGCGCTGGACTCCCACATGGACGACTGTGATTCTAGTCCCAGACCCGGAGGCTTGAAACTCGTGCAATGTCCGTGTGTCTGCGTGCCCAAAATACCAGAGAAGCCACAGGGGTTGGGAGGTGGGAAGTGTGGGGGATAGTGATTTCTCACTTTGTCTCTCTGTCCCTGTCTCTCCAGAGGCAGCACACATGCCCTATGGCAAAAAAACAAAAACAAAAACAAAACAAAACAAAACCTCACACACACAAAGATGGAAACAAAAACTCAATACTTAAGAAGCATTGAGCAGTTTTCAATGGAATTGGGTACTCCCTGGGCCTCCTCCAGATCCCCTCAGGGTAGTTCCCTGACGGGCTCACCAGTCAGGCACGCCGTGAAGAGGTCCCCGCAGGCCACGTGCTTGATGGTCACACCTGACTGACCCTCCAGGAAACGCGAGATAAACTGGGGTTGTGGCTGCTCCACTGCCCCCGGGAGAATTGGGCCTCCGCTGGCGCCTAGGGGTGGGGCCTGCGGAGGGGCAGGGCATTGAAGGGTGGGCGGGGCCTAGACGTCCCGCCTCTCCCAATCCCGCAGTCCCCGCCCACACGGCCTTGCAGGACCTCTCCAGCCGGCTCACCTCCCACAGGATGAGGCGCCCAGAGCGTGTGACGCCAGCCTTCTGGGTGCGCCCTGCTGCCACCTGGACCACTTCTGTGTTGAGCATCGGCAGCCGCAGGGGGGCGCTGAGACCGCCGCCCCAAGTGTACACCGATGACAGTGGCGGTGAGATGGCTGGTCTCACAGGCCCCCGGGGAACGCCTAAAGGGGCAGTGCATCGGGCCTATTAAACTGCTTGACTTGGTGAGGTGTCCGCGGGGACCTGTGGTCCGCCCCAACTCACCCCTGCAGCGGGCACTGGTGGTCCTGCTCCCGGTGCTGCCAGGGGCCATGGGTGCTGCGGTGACCAGGGACTTCTCTGCCCTACAGGACAGATGGGGGCCTCAGGACACGTATCCCCCCTGGCATTCCTACACTCGGGCATGAGGAAGAATCCCCTCCGGTGCTTCCACTGCGTGCCCACCCGGCTGCCCAGGGTCCCGCCCCTGCACAGGCCTCCGCATGCGGACGCTGCCCAGGTCGGTGTGCAGGTTGAGGAGCGCGCGGATGCAGAGGGGCTGCGCCATGATGTGGCTGAGCGGCGGGCGCTGCGCGGGCTCCAGGCTGAGCAGGCTCAGGACCAGCTGGCGCAGCTCTGGGCTGTAGCGGTCAGAGATGGGCGCGAACGTGCCGCTCATGATCTTCAGCACCAGTGCTGGCAGGTTCTGTGAAGGTGCCAAGTCAGGATATGGCCAGGGCCTGGTGCTCCAGCCCCAGCCCCTGGTGAGGTAGCAGTAACAACTTCAGCCTGATGAAGAGATTCCCTGGACGATGGGGGAGCCACCCCCTGCTTTCAGGAATCCCTAGAGTGGTAGAGGGGCTGGAGCCATATTCACTGTTGGGGAAACTCAAGTCTTGCTCTTGGGAGGGTCCCCAGTCGGAAGAGGAGCTGCAGCCCTGTCCTCAGAAGCCCTGAGCCTAGGGGAAACCTAAGCCCTACCCTCGGAAACCCAGTCTGAGGGAGGGCCATAGCCCTGCCCCCAAGGTTGTCCACCATCTGATGAGGGACAGATGACTCAGTCCCAAGAGAAGAAAAACAGAAGTGGCTAGAGCAGTGGGCTGCTAGCAGAGGTTGTTCCTTGAGCCTGCTCACACTCACCGCAGCCTCGAAGGCCCTCTTGAGGCTGGCCAGCTCGTACAGGACACAGCCCAGCGCCCAGATGTCACTCTTCTGGTTGTAGGGCTTGCCCTCACACAGCTCGGGGGAGATGTAGCACGGAGTACCCACCACCTGTAGGAGGGAAGCCAGTATGACGGCCCTGGGTGGGAAGGGGTTGGGGTGGTGGGATGGATGCAGGGGGGTTGAGGAGGAACAGGGACTGCACCCAAGGCCCATCTGGGGACAGCTTCTTCTCAAAGCAGGCCAAGGAGCTTTCTCCTCCAGGACCACCTAGCCAGGGGCACAGGTTTGTGGGGGGAGGATGTAGCATAAGCCTTGGCCCTCAAGAACTAGCGCCCTGGAGGGGTCCCTCCATGCCCAGGCACCGTGTAGGCCTTGCTCTTGCTGCTAAGGATCTTGGAGATGCCAAAGTCTCCAATCTTGACAACCATGCGATGTTTGTCAAGAAGGATGTTCTGGGTTTTGAGGTCCCGGTGCAGGATGAGGTGGGTGTGCACGTGATGTAGCGCGAGCAGGATTTGCACAAAGAAGTGCAGGATGGCCTCCTCCTCCAGCAGGGAATTGCAGCGCTTCTGGATGAATTCCGCCAGGGTGCCGCCTGTGGCCAAGAAACCAATCAAGATCCAGGCTTTCCACACCTGGGACAACCTCTCTTTTTGTGAAACAGAGCAATGGGGAATCAGGGTCAAGATAGGGTCACATAGGGGCCAGCAGGTGGTACAGTAGTTAGGGTGCTGGACTCCAACATGGCTGACTGGGGTCTGAATCCAGGACGGGTGGCTTGAAATTCATGCTGGGTGCGTGTACATGCATGTCTTAAATCATGAGAGAATAGAGGAGAAGGGATTGTGGCATGAATATCCCCCTGGGGGGGATGATTCTCACCTCCCCTCTTTCTGTCTCTCTTTCTCTCCTGAGTGCACGTGCCTTTATGGGAAAAAAAAAAAAAAAAAGATAGGGTCCCGTAACCCGTGCTAGCACTCTCAGCCACCGCCCATGGCAAGGAGGGAAGCTGGCTGCTGTGTCTGCCTGTCCCAGGCCCACGCAAGGAAGAAGGCTCACCTGGAGCGTATTCCATGGCGATCATGAGGGCCTTGTCCTCCAGGAAGTTCTCGTAGTACTCAATGACATTGGGGTGGTTGAGCAGCTTGAGCACCTGGCACTCATTCTGGGCCGCCTGCCTTTTTTTTTCCACGGGGATCTGTTTGATGATCACCAGCTTCTGGTCAGCCTTGCGCAGGCACAGGTGCACGATCCTGTGAACACAGAGCATGGGGTGCACACCCACTGAGCCTCCAGCCACTGATCCGCAGGGCAGACCCGGCGACTGCACGTTCCTGAGAAGAGTGCTATGGGCGTCCAGTCTGAGGTCATCTACCTAAGTGCATAAACACTGAGCTTGGGAGTGGGGAGAATTGATCATAAATTCTTTGTAGACCCGGGGAGGGGGAGAGAGGGGGAATGGTTTGGTGGTTAAGGTGCTGGACTCCCACATGGCTAGCAGTAGTTCGAGTCCCAGGCCTGGTGGCTTGCAGTCTCACTTTCTCTGTCTCTCTCTGGTCAAGTTAAATAATAATAATAATTTAATTAAATAATTCTTTAAAAAAGTCTTTGTAAGGGCCAGCTTTGTGGCCTGCTGGTTAAGGCACCCAGATCTCACATGACTGACTATGCAGTTTGATTCCCAGATGCAGTGGTTTGAGAAACCCTCTAGGCATGTATTCTAGCATGCCCAAAATCCAGAAAGAAGGGAGAGATGGAAGAGAAGGGATTGTGTCATGACCATTCCCACAGAGGATGCTTTCTCTCTCTCTCTTCTCTCTTTCTCTCTGGTGAGTACACAAGCCCTCTGGTTAAAAAAAAAAAAGTCTGAATGAGACTTCAGTGTCACCAAAGGCACAAAGAGGTAAAGCTCGTTTTGACCTCTAAGTTCCCAGAGACTCGAGTTCACTGTCTTGGGTTCAAACCCTGACTCCTCCTCTTACTAATTAACGAGTTTGGACAGGTTACATGACATCACCACCTGGAAAATAAAATCAACCTCAGAGAGTTGTTGAGAGCATCAAGTGAGAAAACGCATGTAAGGCACTTGGCACAGTGCCTAGCACATAGAAATGCTCAATGAATAGGAACCACTCAGGTTATTTGATTTATTTTTTAAAGAATTGTTTTTATTTAACTTTATTTATTTACTTATTTTAATTTGACCAGAGAAGGACAGAGTGAGAGAGACAGAGGGACAGTATGTGTGAAAGTGAGAAAGTAAGCCACCCCGTCTGGGACTCAAACTGCCTTTGGCCATGTGGGAGTCCAGAGTCATTAACCATCATGCTACATGCCCAGCCCCAGGTTATCTTTGTTGTTGTTGTTGTTAAATAATTATTTATCTTTTAAATTTTATTTATGCTTTCATTTATTTTAATTTGACCAGAGAGAGACACACACAGAGAGAGAAGGAAAGTGAGAAAGCAAGCCACCAGGTCCAGGACTTAAACCACGGTAGGCTAATGGGAATGTCCAGCGCCTCGAACTGTGATTAGCCACGTGGGAGTCCAGCGACCCAACCAACATGTCACCTGCTAGCCAAATCGCATTATAAATGCTGCTTCCTCTGCCTGAAAATCTCTTCCTTCACCTTCTGACTCCTGGCCTTCATTCCTCAAATCCTGGCTTTAAAAATCTCACCTCAGTTAACCATCCCAAAGTATTCTTCCTGGTGGTGTACTCTGTCCTTGCAGCCTGCTAACCCTACAGAACTGCTGCAACTTCATAACTACTTTACCGATTTAACAATGTCTTACTGTATACTTTCTCAATAGTCTGTAAGCTCCGAGAGGGAAAAGACCACGCTTGCTTTAGTCATGACTGAATGCGCAGAGCTTGACGAATATACCTGGCGCTCAGTATTTGTTGAACCAATGAAGATTCTAGCATAACTTAACTGGAGCGCACAGGCTCGTAAGGGGCGTGATCTCTCTGGATGGAGGCGGAGTCTCCCTTACCCGACAGGGACCGGAAACCTGGGCGGGGCTAGTCGGGCAGCGACTAGACGGGCAGACTCGGGGCTTATTTTTTCTCTCCCCCAGCAGTTTCCTCCCCCAGAGCCCTCGCTCACCCGAAGGCCCCTCTTCCCACCACTCGGATCCGCTCGTACTTCTCCATCTCTTTCCTGAGTTACTTCCGGAGGCCTCTGCACGCGTGCGCAGACCTGCCCACTCCAGAGCCCTGCCCCTAAACAGCAAGACATTTGAGGGGCGGAGCAAGTGGAGGTGCGCTTAGCGCCTGCTTTTGCGGATCTGTACGCTGCCCGCAGCCCCCAGACGTATTAACACTTTTCTCCCGACCCCGGCCCACGCAGGGTCTAAGGAATAGGACAGCGCACCATTTCTTGGCGTGGCCAGCACAGTACCAGCAACTTCCATACACGTGGCCGGATCCCTCTCTCGCAAAACTGTTTAGACCGGAGGAGTAACACACCGGGAGAGAAAGCCCTGCAGGCCAGGTGGGGTGGGAAGTGAGGGCTGGCCCCCGTTGCCCACTAATGACCGTATTTCAGAAGGAGAAAGCGGATTCTCATTGGCGCGCCCGCAAAAGATGACCAAACTGAACCAAGCGTCAGCGCGCTCGTCTGGTGGGGCGGGACGGGAGCAGGGTTAGTTTCGTGTTTGCCTAGGGAGGGCCCAGGGAAATCCCTAGTTGTGCAAATTGATTTACCTGGGGAGGACGTGACACGGTCTCCAGGCTGTCCCGACTAGTGAGCACTGCGCCCTCGTCAGCACGCTCCACTCCGCCCCTCCATGCTCATTCAGGGAGGGGAAGGTGAGAGCGGAAGTGGCCCACTCGCTGTAGCGTCAGTGGAGTTGGTGCAGGGACCATCAATGGGCCACATGGGCGAGGTCCTACATTATGGGTCTGAGGCTGGATCGCAGTTTGGAGACTCTATGGCTGGTACCCATGTCTCTTTCTCTCTGATGAAAATAAACTTAAAAAGAAAAATGAGTGTCCAGCAGATGGATTCAAGGCTTCTACCCACAGGGAGGGGGCTAGTTAATATGACCCTATTCCAGGTTCTCCGCGGCGGAAGCTCTATAAAATCTCTAGAGGAGGAGAAAGATGGTCATTAGCTAAGGGTTAGCGTCCCTATTTCTGAGTGGGCGAGGAATGTACGAAAAGGAGTGCTTTATCTTCTGCTCCTGCCCCACCCCTCAAAGGACACCAGAACCCGCCCACCTGGAATAACAAGAAAGGCCCCATGAGCGCCCCCAGTCGCTGCGGACTAGCTGCGCAGAGCAGAGCGTGTAGAGGGGCAGAACCGCTCACCGGGGACACCCGTACTCTCACCTAGAAACCGCCTGGGCCTTGGTTGACCCAGAGAGTTCCCAGGGGTTAATGTGTAACCGTGGAGCCATCAGGAGAAGCAGAGCAAACACCCAAATGGCTTAGCCCCTGGCTCTCTGCCCCTCGGGATTCTCCTTTCTTCTTTTCTCTCTCTCCTGCCCCCGACAAGCCTCGCCAACAGGTACACCTCTTCCCTTTCCCCACCAGCTCTGGCCATTCCTTCTTCAGTCCGGGGTCTGCCCAACTTTCCCCGGCTGCCTTGCGCCTTAGAGGCGGGCGGGAATCCCGCACCATAGTGAGGACAGCCTGACACCTAGTGGCCAGGAGCCGCAACCGCTCTGGTCCACGGGCCTGGAGAGTGAGGGTCACCTCAGCCGTCTGGGCAAATCCGCAATCTTCCCCGCCCCAGCCTCCAGGGAGGAGGGAGGGCTGGGACTGTCAGAGGGAGGACTGTGACAGCCGCTCGGCCCCAGGAGCCCAAGAGCGGGCTGGAAGGAGAGGTGGTGATGGGTGACTCAACAGTTCCTAAGCACCTACTCGTGAGGGACGCAGGTACACGCTCCTGGCCAGAAGATAGTCTGGGCGGAGACCCCTGCCCACGACCAGGGACGTGGGTGCGTGACGGGTCCCGCCCCGCTCTGCCCAGCAAGGAGTTGAAGGCGGGGGGAGTTCTCCCCCAGGCCGAGGGAGCCGGTGGCCAGGGAAAGTGGGTGACTCAACAGTTCCTAAGCACCTACTCGTGAGGGACGCAGGTACACGCTCCTGGCCAGAAGATAGTCTGGGCGGAGACCCCTGCCCACGACCAGGGACGTGGGTGCGTGACGGGTCCCGCCCCGCTCTGCCCAGCAAGGAGTTGAAGGCGGGGGGAGTTCTCCCCCAGGCCGAGGGAGCCGGTGGCCAGGGAAAGTGGGGACACGGGTGAATGAGGCCAAGCGGTCGGCAGTCGTGAAGCGCCAGCGAGGGGTGCCTCGGCGGCGGCGGCCCCAGGACATCCCCT